TGAAAAGATATGACTAATGAACTTTTTTATTATCAGAAATAGTTTGGGTAAATTGATGAGTGTAACAGGTATTGAATTGTTCACAAAAATATGGTTCTGCTTGACTACAATGTTTTCGTGATTTGCCTGAAAAGAAAAACAAATGAATTTTTTTTTAAAAAAAAAAATAAATGAATTTCTTCAAAAAAGTTGAGAGAAAAAAAAACGAAAGGAAATATGTTTAATCATTCTTAGTGAATTTTATTTTTTATTTTTTTTTGTAACATAAATTAGAATGAATTTAGATGAAATATTTTAAATTGAAAACTTTAAAAATTCAACAAAATAAAGGATTAGAAAAAAGATTTAAAAGAAATGGATAAAAGATTTCAAAAAAATTTTCTTTTTAAAATGTCATCTATTGCTTTTTTCTTAATGTTAGTAAAGTCTTTTTTTTTTTTTAAGAAAGCTTTTTTTCTTAATGTTTTTTTGATACATTTCGAAGCATTTTTTTGTTTTTTTTTCAACTTACCTTAGATATGGAAGACATTGTGTTAAAATAAAACAATTATTTTTGGTAATAAACTTTTTTCATCAAGTCATAGTTTTTTTTTTTGTAATAAATTATTTTTAATTATTCACCTGAATGTTTTGTCCAATAAGTTTTAGCTCGTCCTTTAAGTTCCAATAATATTTCGTTTACCTTTTTTGGCTCATTATTTTCAATCACAACCTGTAAAACAATAATAAATCCTTCATTTTCTTGAATTAAATTCCCCAAAAAAAGAAATCATTTCTTAATTTACTATATTTTTGATACAACAACTGAAATAATTCTTGCATGAAATTAATAAAATATAATTATTTGCACCACTCAATTACATTATCAAAATAATCATGTGTGGTTAGTTAAATAAATATTCATCCATTTCATTTATATTCATTTTTGCCAATTATTATTTTAATTAATTTAACAAAAAAATAAACACAAAAACTTTTTCCCATCATTTTCTCAATTTTACAAGTTTAAAAAATAAATTGGAAAAGTTCGCCGATAAAATTTCTTCGATAAAATAAATCGAAAAATTTGCAAATTCCTTCGATAACAATTTCTTGCATCAATTATACACTCAGATTACTTTAAAATGTATGAACTACAATTATAATTCAAAATGAATAAGAAAAAATCTTTCTAAAAAAAAAAAATGTAAGTAATAATTAGCTATTATATGTTTTAATAATGATTAAATGCTTTTAACAATGATTAAATTTATGGTGAACCATTAAAATTATTAGTTCTTGTTAAAATTAAATAAGAAATTGCTAAAGAGTATTAATCATTCTCTTCATCACCTAATTAATGAAATAATTATTGCTAATAACTGTCATTTTTTCAATCATTTACACTTTTGCACTAAATTATTTCTTAATTATATTATGACACCTTAGATGTCAAAAAAAATTTGGTATTTTAATTCATTGGTAGTCGTTTTTTTTAAATTTTCTAAAACTGAATTTTCACAGTAAAAGCATTCTGATCATTTGCTAGTTATTGCAACTTTGTAAATTTTATCAGTTACATTTAAAAAATATACTTGGCAAATTGATAAAAATGCCACAAATTAAATTTATTTCAGAAAAATAAAAAACTAAATTCATAAAAAAGTTAAATTTATTCTTAAATTCATTTTATTCATTAAAGAGGTTAGATTTAAAATTAAATTAAATCAAATTTATTCAAGTCCCTTTTATTTAAATTTAAAGAAAGAATTCAAATCATCTTTTTGCATATGACTTGTTATCATATCATTTTGTCTTTTTGGATTATACATTTATTTAGTTTATGAAATTCCCATTGTAATCATTCCGATTTCTTTTTTATTTAATGAATGAATAAAGTTATAATTTAAAAGTTTATCATTTTCTGAATGCATTAGTTTTTCTATAATAAAAATAAAGGAAAGGTAATTTTATGGGGGAAAAGTTGGTTTTTTTAAGAAATTTCGCTAGGTCCCTTTTAATTTAATTTTTTTACTTTTTGATAAATATTACTACCTTCTTTATTTGTTTATTGTAAACTGATTTAAAATCATTAAAATTTATAAAAAAAATCAAAAATGCATATCTGTAAGAAAAAAAGAGAATAATTTAAAATTTATAATCCAAAACATCAGACACTTTTGGATTAATCGAATAATTGAAAAAGAAAAATATTCTGATAAATTAACTCTTTGTCACTTTTTATTTCAACTTTTTTTACTAACAATTTTTAAAAACAAATTAATTTGTGACAATATTTTATTTCTTCGTCTTTTTATTTAAGTTTTGCAAATATTAAAAAAAAAAAAACTAAGGTTACAAATATATTTCATTACTAATTTATCCCAATAAAATTACAATAATTTTTGATTATATTTTTTCCACAATTCATTGCTATATGCCATTTCGATGGATACTTTTAGTTAAATTTAATTAAATAACAATATGTATATAATGAATTAATTAAATTAATTTGTAAATGAAATAACTAATGAAAATTACCTTTCCTGATACTTCTTGTCCAGCAAAATATGCACTTTCAGCATTATTAAATTCAATATCAAATTTAGCTAAT